CTTGTATGGGGCAGAACTTGTATGGTTTGAACTTCTTGCTGGTGCCCAAAGAGGGAAACCCAGGCTGTTTTCTCTTTCTTCTTTTTTTCTCTTTCTTTTCTTTCTTCTTTCTTTCTCTCCTTTTTCTCTAAGAGAGATTATTGCTATAGGGAACATGCACTCACCAGAGACAAAAAGTGAGAAATAACCCCCCCAGGGGGGATGGCCATGCCACAATCCCTTCTCCTACAGTCTCTTCTCCGGATTTTGGGCATGTACACACACACACACCTGGTGTGAGTTCTAAGTTGCTGGGTCTGGAACTCAAATTGTGGTCAGCCACATTGGAATCCACCATCTGCTGATTCCCCCATTTTGTTTTCATAGATTGCCCAGATCATGGGCTAGAAAGGAAAGAAGATAGGCATTGTGAGCTACCAGCATTTAAACTTCAAAAATGAAGTCAAACTCTTTACTGTACTATGGAAAATAAAGGATCCACATTTTTCTAAGGCAGCACCATTATCCCTAAAAGGTTAAGGGACTTTTTCTTCCTTAAGCTTCAACCACAATATTCCCCTAGGATTACTTCCATTTAGAACCACAAAACAGAGTACCATTTCTCCTTTCTGATTAGCACACCCCTCAAAAAATTTTTAAAGACAATTATTCTTCAGAACATTATGAGTAAAGAAAGAATGCAGTTATCTTTTAAAAAAATGATAAGTGCTGTTGGAGATGTGGTGAAAGGGGAACTCTTCTACACTGCTGGTGGGAATGTAAATTGGTTCAGCCACTGAGGAGAAGAATATGGAAGTTCCTTCAAGACCTTCAGATAGAACTACCATATGATCCAACAATTCCACTCCTGGGTATCTACTCAAAGGACAGGAGAATTCTCATTCAGAAAAGTGCTTGTACATATATGTTTATTTCAGCATTATTATGGTTGCTAACACATGAAACCAACCTAAATGTCTGTGAACAGATGAATGGATTGAAAAAGTGTGGCACATATACCCCATGGAATACTATTCAGTCATAAAAAAAACAAGACCCTGGCATTTGATAGAAAGTGGATGAATATGGTAGATTTATTACTGAGTGAAGCAAGTCAGGCTATGAAAGAGACATTGTATGTCTCCACTTAACATATACCAACTATTTGCACTCTGAAAAATTGGAGGACATAAAAGCTTTGAAACTGTTATGGACACTGGGACAAAGTGAAAGAGTGGGAGGAGGGAAGAGTATAGTGAACGAAATTTGAAAGTAAAAATAGAGAGGTAAGACATTTGTGGGACATAGAAATGGTTTATTACCTCTCAATAATGACATATATAGTATTTTCAACTGGAATGGTCTGAGGTGTCTTTCATGCTGGGTAAATTTTCTTTACAATCTAAATAATGTATAGCAATTGAATGTATAAATAATAATATTTAAAAATTAATAAATAAAAAGTTATTTCCATGTAGGGAGTGAAAAAAAGGAAAATATATCAGGTATGTATGTGTTTGTATGCCCCAAATCCCAACAGCATAGAAAAATGGAGAAGAAGGGATGGCAATGTGACAACACCTCAGTGGGGGTTTTCTCTCTCTCTCTCTCTCTCTCTCTCTCTTTCTTTTTCTCTTTTTCTGGCAAACACACATGCCTTCTTCAAATTAAAAAAAAAAAACTTAACAGAAAACCATACACATTAATAGTGTTTTTATTAATTACTTTCATAGGTTTTCCTTACTTTTTAATTTCACAGTAGTTATGTTAATATAAAGCTATAAAGTCATATATATCATTATTCTACTCTACAGTCATAATCAAAACTGACAATTGTATACAATAATAAAATGGCACTGTGACATGGGTCATACAAGACAATGAGTATCTTTAAAATAATGCATATTTTAACTCCAGAATGCACTATATGATGTATCTCTTATTACTCCTGGTAGTGAAATTGCTTGGTATTCCTGATGTTTACATCAACTGAGGGTGAGGGAGAAACTCAGAAACAGGTAAGGGAGGGATGGATAATGACACTTAATGGAGAATAGGATACTGGGAGTAGGGTCTTCCAAACAGTGTGGATTGGCAAGTTGTATTTTGCAGGCCAAATGCCTCAGTCTTTACCAAATTTGTCTAATAGGTTTGCTATCTTGGATTTCCTAAGAAATTGCTACTGAGGTTAATAGAAGGGTTTTCTAATTGTAATATCTGTGATTTTGTTTTATAATTTTTAACCAATAATCCTCATGTTTTGAATAAGTTTGTGTCAAACTGAAATTACCACAGAAGAATATATCATACCACTTATTATAGAATGCATATTTCATTTCATTATTCATTGCATTATTGTAGTAAAAATTTAATAAGTTTTGCAAATAAAGCAAGGTAATTTGAATTAGAAATGTATGAGAAACAAAAATAAAAAACAAGGGTAAGGTATTATAAGCAACCTGGCATGCAATCATTATAGAACAGGACTTAGAAGCCCTATGAATAGAAAAATTTGGCTCTAAACTTCATTAGTCCTTGTGAAAAGGGAAACCTGAAAAAATATGTGTGTGGATGTGACCACAACTGGTGCTTTGAACAGCATAGACAAATAATATTGCCAACATGAGTTTATAGAATTCTGACAAGAAATAAAGGAATGGCATCATTTGGTTACTTCTTTGTATATTTATCAAAGACAAATTCTGATGTCACAGACTTTAAAATAATAACATAGTTTAAAATAGTTTAGGGATGCCCTTTTCTCTCCTCTTTGAAAATCTAGCTGTCTAGATCCCAGGTTGGAATTCAATGACCCAATATATGTATTTAGAATATTTATTTAAGATATAATGTTTCTAGGGACCAGCAGTTAGCATAATGGCTATGTCGCTGGACTCCCATGTAGTCGACTGTGGTTCGAATCCAGGACTCGGCAGCTTAAACTCACGCCGGGTGCGTGTGTGTGCATGTCCAAGATCCCGAGAGGAGAATGGAGAAGGGATTGAGGTGTGGCCATCCCCTCTGAGGGGTGATTTCTTGCTTTCTATCTCTCTCTTTCTGGCGAGCGCACACACCCTATAGCAAAAAACTCAAAAAAATGAAAAAAAAAAAGATAAAATGTTTCTCTTGATTTGTTAGAACTAGTGACTAGTTCATTGACTATTTCATGTAGTCATCATCAAAGTATTGAAAACTTCTACTCTTGTAGAAGAAACAGAGAAAACATAATGCACTGTGGATAAAGGTCTTTAAAGGCCATCCCACAAAATGTAATTATCATTCATCCCTGAACTACAAATATGGAAGCTAAGAGGAAAATCTTTGAGTCCATTATACACAGACAGCAGATAAGTTAGTTGTGCAAACAGGGATGCAGTGCTGGGCCTAGGTCTGTGCTAGTTCTAGGTAAACAAAGATGAAGATGTCAGGATGTCTGCTAAGAGCTCAGAATGTAAAAAAGCAGGTGGTTTCACTAACTGTGGTGCTTCCAAGATGAAGCCTGTTCTAATGAAACGCTGGCTTTTTCTCACAGGTTGGTACAATAGGCTTTTCATCAACTTTGTGCTAAGGAGACATATTTTCTTCTTTGTACTGCAAACCTATTTCCCAGCCATATTGATGGTGATGCTTTCATGGGTTTCATTTTGGATTGACCGAAGAGCTGTTCCTGCAAGAGTTTCCCTGGGTAAATACGTATGCACCTTTTAAAAACATTAATAAGGGAGAAGGGTGGAAAGAAGCCAATAAAATTGGCTGGTACATGAAGAGGAAAAGAGCACAGTGGTTTAGCAGGGAAAATTACAGACAGACATTCAACTAAAGTTCTGATTTTGACAGCTTCAAGGGCAAATTGTTATTGGACACTTTCCTTGGGAACCCTGACTTTAAGGAAGAAGTATGTGCTGATTGACTGCAGCTAGATAGTAATAAGAAAAGAGGGTAAAATTATGAAGCATAACAGCTTTTTTTTTCTTTTCTTTTCTTTTTTCTTTCTGTTTCCCCAGCCAGCACTCTCTATTTTCCCTCTTTTCTCTTTCAAAGAAAACTCTTCATTCTTTATCTAAGCCCAGTTAGTGTGCATGAAATTCTTACATTACAGAACGAAGAACCTTCAAAATAGTTCACACTATACTGTCATTGCCTTAACAGATTATTTTGTGGTGGGGATGGGGAGATGCTTGCATTTGGAAACAGGAATACTGATTAGAAATTTGGGCTTGACCTAAAGGCTAAAATCAGAATCAACTACAGTGGAATTTCACATACTGTGGCACTTTGGTTGGCAAATGACTTTGGGTGGTGAGACATCCCCAGACTCATTAAGTCACCACACAAGGCAATTATCTACTCCATCCAGCATGTTATATGCCACTGTCACACGTGCTGATTTATGGGAGCCATTTCAGACCCACTTAGCAGTTACTGAGTCCTTACAAATTGGAAGGTACCAAGCTAAGCACTTAGATGGCATGTTACTTAATGAGAACCCAAGAGTTAATCCCGCTTCCCTTCTTGGCTGGTTCAGGGCAAAGCTCCCTCATTTCGTTCCGATTCTGTTCTTTCATCTGTAATGCTCTATCGGGAGAGAAGATTGTTGTAAGTAGTTCACAATCATTGTAATTATCACACAATTCATCCCAGAAAGGGTGGTTTCTAAGTTAATGTTCACAAATTACATGCATACTTCAAAAGATCATTTGAAAGACATATTATTAATATTAATAATTTGTTCACCTCTCTCCCTTATTAAAAGCTTCAATCCACAAGCATTTGAGGTTTGAATATTTTTAAGGAAAAATGCCATCTGAATGAGTAATTAAATTATTTTGACTGTTTCTTCACATTAGAGCCTCTGTGCCTTGACCTCAGCACTGCAGAGGGGCAATATAGACCTGGACAGGAAACGAAGTGCCATGTGCAGCCTCGGAGTCAGGATGAGAAAAGCATTGAATCTCTAAAGGCTTATGAACATAACTTTCAAACTGATTTCTCAAGTCCATCATTCTGTTCTTACACTGTGAATATGAGACCACTAAGAGCTAAGTCAATGGCTGGTCAGGTGAATGTAGAACACTCAAATACATTTAACTTGCCCTGAAATTCTGTGCCTCTTGCCTCCACGTCTGATCCTAGGAAAATTACTATGCAGGTTTATGCAAAATGATATTCAAATCCAAAGTGCTCCTCTCTCCTTTTTTGAAAATTAAGAGATCTGCAGTATTCAAATAGCTCCACTATATGCTGTCTTTTGCTTTCAGTTTTTTCAAAGATCCTTTGCCTTCTGCTTTACTTGCTTTTCTCAAATGCTGTGCTACCAGTTCTCTGGGAAGTCGTTCTATCTATTCGCCTATCCTAGGTGTCTTTTCTCAGCTATTTCCCTCCTTTACCTTCTCTGCAGCATTCTCTTCGACTTCAGAAGTAAATAAAGTGGCCAAAAGTCCAGCCTTGTCTCTCTCATCTGCAACATGAAATTATTAATATGACCTTCTAAAGGTCACTGTGAGAATGAGACAGGGGAATTCATGCCAACTGCCTAGCTTGATGCCTGACTCATACTGTTTGCGAAAACCAACCGCAATGTGTGAGTTTTTCTTACCTTGCACTGGTCTAATTTTTCTCCTCCTTTTAGACATTCTCTTTCTTGTTTTTATTTTCTTCCTCTTTAAGTATGGATAATTTCTTCCAAGAATTTGCTCATTTTCTCATATCAAATGGAGCACACTCCTTGATTCAACTGCTATCTTAAGGAAAATAAACCCTAAATATGTGTTTTTATCTCAAATCTTTCTCTCCACTTCCAGAGGGTGTTTCCAGTTGCCTGCTGGACTTTTCTTTTAGATATAGGCACTCAACACACTCAGAACTGACCCAATTACTATCTTCTCCCACACCCCTCCTACTTACTCTCTTTACTTTTCCCCTTCTGTGATGGGGTCCCCAATTAATTGAGTCTTTTATCTTTGAAACATTCTTTTCAGTTTATTCTTTTTTTTTTTTGAGAGAGATTTTTGCTATAGGGCAAGTGCGCTCGCCAGACAGACAGGGAGACAGAGAAAGAAAACAAGAAATCACCCCCCCAGGGGGGATGGCCATGCCACAATCCCTTCTGCTCTGTTCTCCTATCGGGATCTTGGACACACATGCACACGCACCCAGCGTGAGTTTTAAGCCACCAGGTCCAGGATGCGAACCACAGTCGACTACATGGGAGTCCAGTGACATAGCCATTACGCTAACTGCTGGTTCCTCCAGTTTATTCTTTAACAGGGGTTCTCAGACTGGTCTGAGGACCCATTTATATACTTAAAAATTATTGCAGGCCCTGGAGAGTTTTTGTTTTCATGGGTTACAGGTATAATAGCCATATTATGTATTAAAATAGAACTATAAAAAGAATTTATTTTAAAATAGCAAGATAAACTCATTAAAAGCATGAAAATATATAAATAACTTTTTCTTCTAAAAAAATTAGTGAGAAGAGTGGCATTTCTTTTCTTTTTTTTTTTTTTTTTGCAAACCTTCAGAGTCTGGTTTCAGAGAAGCTAAGTAGATTCTTATCTCTGCTTCTTTATTCAGTCTATTACAATAGATTTTGGTTGCAATATAGGGAGAGATTATACCACAATTGACATGTAGTAAGAAAAAGAAGTAATTTTAATGGTCTTTCCAGGTAATTATGGATTGTATTACTTCACATTACACCAAAAGTCAGCAAATGATAGATCCATTTTTTACCTTCTTCTCTTTATTTATTTTTAAATTTTAACTTACATTTAATCACATATATTTTTACAATGTATAACAGTACTTTTTCCAGCATGAATACCATGCATTTTAGTCAAGACAAAGACATTAGTACATACATTATCATCAGCAAATGGCTTTTCAATTTTTATAACAATTAAACCTCCATTACCCACCCCCATACTACCCCTATCCTTATTATCTCTAGTATCTACAGCTGCCCTCCCTGCTACTGTACCTTCCCAACTTTCAGTTTCTGCTATAGAGTACAGGTATTTGGTGTATATTGAGCAGAGACATATAAAGTCTCTCTTTCATAGTCTGGCGAACTTCACTAGCATTCAGTCTTCCATATTAGTCCACTTTGTTTCAAATGTCAGGGTCTCATTGGTTTTTTTTGTTTGTTTGTTTTTATGGCTGAGTCGTAGTCCATAGAATACATATACTACATTTTTCAATCCACTCAACTATTTTTGGACATTTGCATTGATTCCATGTCCTAGCAATTGTAAACAATGCTGCAATATACATGGATGTGCAAGCATTTTTCTGACTGAGGGTTGTTCTCTCTTGTGGGTAAATACCTAAGAGTGGCATTACTGGGTTGTAGATTGTACAGTAGTTCTATTTGAAGGTTTCTGAAGAATCTTCATATCATTCTTCAAAGTGGTAGTATTAATTTGCATTCCCACTAACAGTGTAGGAGAGTTCCCATTTCACCACAACTTTGTAAGCACTTAACATTTTTTTTTTATTCTAGTCATTCTGACTGGGGCTAAGTGGTATATCATTGTGGTCTTGATTTGCATTTCCAATGATAAGAAATTTTGAGCATGTTTTCATATGCTTTGGGGCCGTTCATGTATCTTTGGAGAATTGTCTCTTCAGCTCATTTTTCCATCTTTTAATTGACTGATTGTGTGTGTGTGTGTGTGTGTGTGTGTGTGTGTAAGCTGCTTGAGTTCCCTGTATATTCAGATTATCAGTTCCTTTTCTGAGATATAGTACTCCCACTCTGAGGATTGTCTTCTCACTCAACTTATTGTTTGTTTTGCTATGCAGAAGTTTCTCAACCTAATATAGTTCCATTTGTCTATTTTTGGGACTATTGCCTGTGCTTTGGGGGTCTTCTTTAAGAAGTTTTTGCCTACTCTAAGGTATCTAAGAGTTTTTTCCTGTGTTTTCCACCAGTATTTTTATACTTTGAGGTTTTATGTTTAGATCCTCAATCTGTTTTGAGTTGATTTTTGTTAGTGGTGAGAGATGAGGGTCCAGTTTCATTCTTCTGAAGATGGATACCAGTTCTCCCAAAATCATTTGCTAAAGAAATTTTCTTTTGCTCACTGGATTGTCTTATGCCCTTTGTCAAAGATCAGTTGGTTGCATGTTTTAGGGTTTATTTAGGGGTTCTCATTCTATTCCATTGGTTTACCTGTCCTTTACTTTTTTTTCCCAACACTGTGATGTTTTAATTATCATAACTTTGTAATATATTTTGAGGTCGGGAAGTGTGATGCCTTCTACTTTATTCCCCTTGCACAGTATTGTTTTGATGATACAGGGCCTTTTATGATTCCAAACTAATTTTATGATATTTTTCCTATTTTTTGTGAGGAATAGCTCTGGTAGTTGAATGGGATTGCATTAAACTTGTAGATAAATTTGGGTAGGATTGACATCTTGATTATATTAATTCTTCCAATCTAGAAACACGGGATGTTTTTACACTTTTCAATATCATTTTTAATTTCTTTATCAAGTATTTCATTGTAGAGATCTTTGACATCTTTGGGAAGGTTTATTCTTCAATAACTAATTGGTTTTGTGGTTATTTTTAAATGGGATTACTTTCTTCAATTCTGTCTCATTTTGTCTGTTGTTGGTGTGTAAAAATGCTGTAGAATTTTGTATGTAGATTTCATATCCTCTCATTTTACTATG